GTTGTAGTCCCTACCAGCCGTTTTTGTAGGCATTAAACTGCCAGAATTTTAAAAGACGATATCTTCGTTTGCATTGAACTTTCAGCATTGTAACTTTGCAGATATTGTTTATGCTCAAACAGCAACATTACACACTAAATAACGTTAAAAAAGTGAAATCGCAATCAACCACCCCTTTAATTAATTTAATTAAATCAAAGAAATGCATACAACTGATTAAATTCATTTTACTGCTTATTATTATTATTTATATTTACCAACATTTAGCCATTTCATTATATATTTATTTGATAGAAGCTGATTGAGTGGTTTTAATTTGCCTGTACGTAGTAGTAAAATGCATATGTTAATCACTTGTATACCTTAATATTTCTTTAATTTTGTTTATTAATTAATTATTTGTTCAAAGAAATATTAAGGTATACAACTGACTAACAAAAGCATTTTACTACTACATACAGGCAAATTTAAACCATTCAATCAGTTCAAATGAAAAAAATATATATATAATATCAAAATGTTGATAAATACATTCATTATTATTAGTATTATTATATTAATATATATTAAATTAATCTAAATTATAGAAACAATATTAACATCACTAATAAATAATAATTACATTTCTTTGATGAGGATATTGCATTTTTTTTCATATGATCCCCCTACAGAGCTAAATAACACAAATGCAGCTGACGTTTTATTAATTGACTATGAACTGTAATGAGCACCTGAATGAGCAACTGAAGGTAGCCTCCAATTTTCTTGACATCCGTCTTGAGCTCCTCAGCTCTCTGAGACACTGAATCAGAGCTGGTCTTAATGCTGGACACCCAGTGCATGGTAATGAACACAGCCCTTTCAACAGCAGACGTGGCCTTCACAAGATGAGTCTGGGCTTCAGTACTACAGACAAACACTGTTCACATACACACAAACAGAACAAAATGAGGCTCTTTGTGTAGTGCTGTGATGACACAGGTCTTGTGCATTCATATTGAGCTGAATATTGACACTGATGAATGGCTTTGTTGATTTAGGTTTGTTAAAAACGCTGATGCTTACAGTTCTCCTGACTGTCGTCGTCAAGGTGCTCGTAGAGGTCTGTGATGGACTTCACAGCACGGTGAATCGCCAGCAGGTCTAGAGTCAGTTTGTCACCCAAGCTTTCGCTCTTCTCCACTGTCGACTGGCAGGACCGCAGACGAGCCACAGCAGAGCCAATCAGATCTTTGCAGATGGTTGGGAGGGCGGAGTCAGAAGTGCTGGAGTGCAGAGAGGGGGGCTTGTTCATCAGCCCTAAAAAGACACAGAATATCAAAGTTACTTAATATTTTCAAGGGGGGAAGCAGTCATATTTCTTAAGCAGGCTGAAAAAAAACTAGTCTGTTATTCTAGTATTATTTATTATTTCAGTATTATTTATGTACTATTACAGCATTTAATATTTTGAATTTGCTTTCATTTTTATATTTTCAACTTTTATTTAAATTTGTTTAAGTTTTAGTGACTTTGTTGTTTTTTGTTCTTTATATTTCTATATATATTTAATTTATTTTTATTGTAGTACTGTATTTAGTTTTAATTGTAGTACTAATTTTACTTTAAGTTATATATTAGTTATACTAATGTTTAGATTTTATTTCAGCCTTGAATAAAACAAAACTAAACAATAAAATAAAAACAAAAACAAACAAGTGAGATGCTACTAGGGCTGTCAATAGATTAAACATTTTTAATCAGATTAATCACATATTTTTTCTGTGATTAATCGTGATTAATCGCACTTCATTAAATTAAGCATAGGCCATTTATCTTGTTTCAAATGGTTATTTTCTCATTATTTGCTATATTCAGCAAAGTAAACCAAAAGATTGAAGGGTGATTCTCAAAAATCTGTATTTTCTGCAAGCTTTTCTCAGGATAAATGTAGATGTCTTCCCAAAAAAGGACTCCAAAACTCAGAAAGGATACTCCAAAAGGACACCAAAGAACCAAATGATATAAGGAGCCCATATAAGCACATATGCATAAAAATATATCTGACATATATCTGAATTGTATAGTATGTGTACAGTGCAACAGCAAATAGCTTTTTTACATTTTAGAGAAGCCAAGTTGCGATACTGAGCAGGACCACATGGAGATGCCAAAAAAACCTAAACTAACCGCCTGCTGATGCTTACTGTACTGTACGACTCCTGTACGCCACCGCAATCGTCTCGTCTTTACCTTGATTGCAGTCTTCATACATCAAAACTTTACTAGCGAGACTGGTTATCCAGTCGAGAAAACGTAGTTTGCGTCTCATCTGGCCATACAGCGGTGAGATGTGTTGACATCTTGACAGTCTGTACTTCACACACAGCGCGTGTGATGTGTGAGGGCTCACGCTCTTCAGAGACAATCACAGAATATGACAGAGCTCATGTTTAAAGGCGAATGCTACACAAAAACAAAACTCTAAACAAAAACAAAACAAGTGAGATGTTACACAAAAACAAAACTCCAAATAAAAACAAAAGTGAGATGCTACACAAAAACAAAACTAAACAAAAATTATCATACAGCTATGCATACCAGGCCTTTGAACCAATGAGATTACACGGTTTTTGATGTAATATTTATAGTGCATTTCAATATTTCAATTTTTTTCAATTACTGAAAACAATTTTTTATTAGTTTTAGTTAAAAACACTGGTTTGCAAATATGTTCCAAAAACTAGTGAGCTGCCTACGTAGACGTTATTTTGAAGACTACTTTTGTCCATAGAGTGAAAGTCAATGGCGACCAAAACAACATTGTTTGGACCCCATTGACTTTCATTGTATTGACAAAAAATACTGAACGATTTCTAAAAATTGAAAAAACATCGTACAGGTTTGAACAGTTAGTAAATTATGACAGAAATGTACTTTTTGAGTGAATTATCTCTTCAAAACTACTAATCTAAATGATGATAAAATCAAAGAGTCAAAAAGACATATACATACATACAATATAAAGGCTAATTTACCAGTGGACTGTGAGGGAGCACAGTGTAGGCTTTGAATGGGGTGCACTCGGATCTCATATAGACGCCCAGAAATCCTCCTGCTCTTCAGCAAACTTCTACTCCTGAGCCACAAGAAACAGAAAATAAGAAATACAGATACATTTGAACTTATATCCTATATCTCATTATCAGTCAGATAACTCTTCTTCCTAAACAGATAGTTACATGATGTACACTTTGAGTTTACTGCTCATCCCAAGGACGGAAAGACAAGAGAGGAAGTCAAGAGGTGAAAAGCTAAGGAATATCTATGAGCTGGCTGTAGTTACATACTCTTGTAGGCAAAGAAAATGGGTTAAAAATGCTGCAGGAATGTTCGTTTCCATAGGGCTTGGTTTATAAAGGGAAAAATATCACCGTGGTGGAAGACAATAACCAGTGTTGGGCACAAAGTATGCTTCTGTTCTTTCGTTCCTCAACACAGAAGTACAGAGAGCCAAAGAGCAGCATCATGGACTCCATGAGAAGACTAATAAATTCAAATACCTTCTGCGAGAGAAAGACGAGGTTGAGGAAGAGGCAGATAGGTCTGGTTCCCACTCATCATTAGGGTCGTAAAACACGTCGTCATCTTTAGAGGTGCTCTCCCCCTACAGCCAATAAACATCAGACTTGATTTAGCCGCAGATACTTTTACGATAATAAGAGCAACTGCCAATACTACATGCTTCCTGCTTTTACTGGGTAATTACAAGGAAATAAACAGGCTTCAAATAGCCTCATATATTATTGCATTCAAACAACTAAGCTCTGTGTTAAATACTCAGGACTTTGTTCAAATCAAGTGTGGCGCAAAGTTTCCAACGTCAAGTAAAGAGCTACACAAAAATAAAGTAAAACAAAGCTAAACACTACCTATAATGAAATAAAGACAAAAAACAAATCTTTCTAATGTCATGTAGGGGTGGGCGATAGGACCAAAATCTTATATCACGATATGAGTAATTTTATTTCATGATAACGATATACATCACGGTATAGTTATTTTTCCCTTTAATAAGGTTTTTATGATATCAAAATCTTTGAAACCATAGAATTCTCATAATTCTTGTCACTAGTGTCAATATCACAGAAAAACTAATACAAACCCAAAAAAAGAGAAAAACAAGCTCACTGAAGACAAGTAAACAGTCAGTGATAAAATAAGAATAATTATAAGCAATAGGACAAAAAACTACAATAAATAAATTAGAAATGTTACATACTAGGGATGCAAAAATACATACCTCGGTTTTTTAACCACGGTTTTCAGTTTGGTTCTGATGGCATGGCACATCAGGGTTTGTTTTTTTTTTGCAACAAATTAACAACAAAAAACTCTTGCAAACTTCTGTACACCGGAAAAGCGTGGTTTATTTTATGTCTACTTAAAATTTCTTTTGAGAGGTATTATTTTTCAGATTTTTACCCAAAATTGAATGGATTGACCATTATTGAGGGTTATAGACACATGAAATGCGCGTTTCATTCATACTGGACACCAGAGGGCGCCCTCGCACAGAAACACCACGTATGCATCACAGAACTAACAGAACTGATGACGTTCCAGGAAATCCCTAATATGGATAAAGGCATTGCTATAGCTGTAACTAAAATGAATAAAAAAATGTGAATTAAAAAAAAAAAAAGATATAACTGAATGTTTTTAATGATGAAACGTCACGCTCACCTGCGACAATATATGGTTTATTTGTGTTCTTCAAGCCATCTGGGGTATTTTCATAATGATAAAGTTATATTTGCAAGCCATTGCTAATCAACATAGCCGTTATTACAGTATATAATATATTTTCTGCCTCATTCTGTGACAAGAAACCACATCAGATCACAAAAGGAAGTTATTTCAAACACTCGACTAATGTTGTGAAGTAAAAACAAGTTATAATGTTCTCTTCTGTTGGACAACAGGTTTAGAAACACTTATCATTGCAAGTCATTACAAGGAAGATATGCTAGGCGTGTGTTACTTTTTCAAATGCACGTTATAAGTGGGGAAGCGTTTCCTCATCTCAGCATGTGAACTCACGGGCACACACACAGCCAATTCTGAGAGAAATAAAACACACGGAAATTATTTAAATGAAAAACCGCAATTCACAAGTGTATATTGAACCTTGGATGTCGTACCAAACGGTTCAATATTATATTGAGAATTGTGACATCCCTACTACATACACTGCATAAATTAATCAAAAACACTGCATATTCTTCACTGTGTAAATTAAATATACATTTCTTCTTATTAAAGTTACAAAAGTGATTTAGTCAAGAGCAGTGAGAAATTTTCTCTCTCTGTTGTTTATGACAGACAGCAGGAATATTAGACTGCTGTCACTTTAAGACCGAACATCCAGATCCAATTATACTGTTACGCGTGTGTTTTCTTTCTCAGCTGTTTACTTTCACTTAAGACCATTTTACGAGGATACTTGCAATCACAGGCATTTTGACACATTGGCTATAAGTATGTGTCAAAAATACTCACTCGCTCTATGAGCAGTGGATTCATGTGTGCGGCCTGTGCGCACCTCTCAGACCTCAAAAACAGTCTCACAGAATATAAGTTACTATTGAAGAATAAAACATCATTAGCATGCGCTAGTGCATGACGAAGCACAGTTTAACAGTTGTACTTTTTATGTTTGCTGAAAAAAGGAAGCTGTGAAAGAGGACGTTAAAAGAGTTTGAGGTAAGCAGTTTTAAGTTTTTGCCCCGGGTCGCATTGATCAACACGCCATTTCATGTCGCATTTTTATTGGCTGGTCAGTGGATGTAGGTCGTAGCAGCAAACACACTGTGCGATGATCATGCTGAATTTCTGACACTGTCAGAAAATGATCGTAGGCTATCTTTGGTAGCAAGACCATGACAACGGTCATCTTTGAACCTCTCTCACTGTACGACACAGGGCCACCGTTTAGGAGCCACAATCACAGAAATTGCCACGATTGTTTCACGATGCCAATCTTTTGTCAGCCAAAAATCGTGCAGTGTGTAGAAGGTTTAAGATGATAGTCCAGAAATCTCTGCCAGTTGACAAATTTCAACCGGTTAATTGTATCTACCGGTATATCGCCCACCCCAAATGTCAAGTGACATGCTACACAAAACAAATACACACTAAAAAAACAATAAAACACTAAATAAAATAAAAATAAAATAAAACAATGTTAAGTGAGATGCTACACAAAAACAAAACAAATAAATACATAAATAAATAAACCAGTAAACACGAAACAATAAAAAAAACTTAAATAAAACAACACAAAACACTAAATAAAATAAATCAAAACAATGTTAAAACAGATGCTACACCAAAACAAAACACCAAATCAACTAAAACCCCCCAAAAACAAACCAAACTCAATCCAACCTATCAAAAAAAAAACAACAACAACAAAAAAACACCTAACCAACCGAAAAACAAAATAGATTTTAAAAAAACAAAAACAACAACAAACAAAAAAATGATGTCGCTAAAACAAGGATTTTAAAGAGGTCATGACTCATGACATGGATTTTTTTATTATTATTATTTAATATGTTCCTTGGGGTTTACTTATAATGTTAATAAAGTTTTTTGCACACAAAAAAACAAATAAATGTGGAAAAAAATGATTATTTTCAACCCTCATTCTGACCCTCTCTCTGAAGAGCTGTTTTAAGGGGCGTGTCCTTTAAGGCTTGTCAAGAATCGGCCACTGTTATGATTGGCTAATGTCATTGCATAAAAAACAGTATCAACACCCCCTTGCTATTGCATGTGAGTGTTTTGACGTTTTGACAAAAAAAACTAAAAAAACAACAAAAAACAGACAAAGCATTATGAAATCATTTACTTACAGTTTGTGAGGCAGCTGCAGTCAGATCTAGTATCTTTCAACAAATGTTTCTTTGTGAACTTCCCATGACACTGTGCCTCGTATACAAAGCAAAATGCTCCGATCAATCCTCTGACACAATCCGGGGTGTCATTAAAAATAAACTATCCACTTGTTCCTTACGCTGGGATCCTTCTGATATCTGTTTAAACCAAACGCATCAAAGCGAACATTCTTTCACTCCATTTGTCCTATTGACGACAAACTCGAGCGAGTGGATTGTGTCAGAAAGCGAATGCGCATCTGTATACTGTATCCAGTGTAGACAAGATAGTGGCAGTGATTGTAATTTCTATTTGCTTTTGACACGACGCAACACTTGCATTCAGCATGATTAAGTCAGCCATTAAGCGACTGGATGCCAGTGGGCGGGGCCTATGGTGAGAAGATGACTGCTCTGGAGACAATTTTTATGCAAATGTTTGTGCCCAGGTGATGTCACCTTGTACCTCAGATCCAAAACGAGCCGTTTTTGGAGCTTGATTAAATAAATGCTTTGTTTATAATGAGGAGGACGTTTTAAGCTATGAAACTTGCAGGATGTATTAATGGTACAAAGACCTAGTATATGCCAAAAGATCATGGCGAATTTGATTTCTCATGTCATGACCCCTTTAAACCAATGACTACCCAGCTACAACAACAGAAACCAAATCAGCCAAACAAAAAAAAATGTTTGCCGCCCATTGTTTGTTGTGGTTGCATCTAGTTACAGACAAAACCTGGATTAACACTGAAGAGTATATCATTTATCGCTATATGATGTCAAAAGGTTAGGACACTGTGCACTTTGCTACAAAAATGCCACTGTGTAGCTCAAGCAGCAGGTTTACAGTTATTAACTAGGTGAACATCTTTTATTAAGCCACCTGCTCAAGCTCCCTCATGGCAGCCAAGTTGCACTGGAACTTCTCCAGGCTCCAGAAGGTTGAAATTCCCAGTTTGGTGTTCTGAACTTGGACCTGCAGTTGGGTGTCTCCACCCTCGCTCTCTTTATCGGTCGCCTCATGTCTGTTATGAAAACACAAATTCACGTCTGATTCCATCCGAAGACTTTTCAAGAAGAATTTCAAATGACTCACTTATCAATAAAATGACTAAATTCACACTTTTCCAGTCATTAGTGATTGCTGGATAAAGATTTTATATATTTTTTAATAAATGCTGTACTCACAAAGAGCAATTTGTAGCCGACTAACATTCCATAATAAAAAGGAGGAAAAAAATATTCGCTATAGCTTTTTCCATGACTTTATTTATTTATTAATTTAATAATTTATTTAAATTACATTTACATTATACTAAATTATTTTAATACAATTTTTCCTAATAATAAATTCTGATTGGTTAATACTGTAGCAATGTTGTTCTAAGACTAACAAAGATGTTGATCCAGGAACATTAAATCCATTACACCCACTAAATAACTACCTGCTGAAGACTGTGTGTTTCCTGAGTTTGGCACTGATTTTGTTTGCTTCTTCAATCATTAAAGACAGCTTCAAGGCATCCCACTGTGGGTAGGCTGCAAACATTGAACAAAAATATGGTGAATAACACACTGTTAAGAACATCACTGATGGAAAACCCCATGTCTTTTCAATTTAAAGTGTGCATATACCCGTTTTAGGGGTCTGGGTCATTTTAAGAGCACGTTTTCTCTCAATCTGAGCAAGATCTTCTGCAATCTTCCTCTTCTCTGCTTCAAGCGCCTCTACAATCCTAGCATGCCGGATATCATGATCTGCCAACGCCTATAGAAAAACAAATAAAAATCTGAATGAGTCACAAATTAAAAGATGATGAAGCCATCTTCTGTATAAACTTTGCTAAATAAAGAAACTAAATAATATAAATAAAAACTAACTAAATAATATAACTATAACTAAAGTAATACATAATACAGAAATAATATAACTATAAAGTAATATAAAGTAATATAATATAATATAAAGTAAAATAAATAAATAACATAACTAACTGAACAAATAAACTGAAAATATTCAGAATAAATATCTTAACTAAAACTAAATCAAATAAGTAACTGAATAAATGATTAACCCTAACTGAATAAATATTATAACTATAAAACTAAATAAATAATATAGCCAACTAACAAAACTTAAGATTAGGTAACTAACTGAATAACTAAAACTAAATAAATAAATTAACATAAATACTACAACTATAGCTAAATTAACTAAATAGGGTGAACTATCCCTTTAAGAAAGAGAAAAGCATAAATTTAAATTTTTACTGGTCGTTCTGTACCTGTCTAGTAGCCTGGGCCTCCATCTGCAGACGTCTCTTATGGGTGGTGACTTCCTGCTCCAGCAGACTCTTTGCTGTCTGCAGTCGCTCTACCTGGCTGACGACCCTCTTTTTATCCAGCTCCTGCTCTCTCTTGCATTCACCCTCCTCCTCCTGAGCAAGCGTTTGATTAGCTGGAGTCGCACATGCTACACACAGACACGTCTGCTAACAGCTTACCAGCTCTCGCTCCAGAACTTTGATCCTCTCCTCGTACTGACCCTTCTGCTCGCTCAGCTCTTTCTGTGCCATCTCTTTAGCCAACTGAATGCCCTGCATCATCTCCTCTTTGGCCTTCAACCGAGCCGCCTCGATCTCTGCTTCAAGTCTGTGAAGAAAAACTAAAGGGTTAGTTCACCCAAAAATGAAAATGGGGCCTTTATTCATCCCCCGAAGCCGTCTGCGGCACGTTTTATTATGAATGCGCGTGCTTTATTTGACGACTTGTGGACTGTTCAACTGCAACACCTGCTGACTGCAATGATAGAGCTTGGAATAGCCTGGACAATTTTTAATATAACTCCGACTGGATTCGTCTGAAAGAAGAAAGTCATATACACCTAGGATGCTTCGAGGGTGAGTAAAACACATGCTAATTTTCATTTTTGGGTGAACTAACCCTTTAAGAATGGACCACTCAACATGTGTTTTGGCCTTCTTTATTAACATTTTCTTTGATTAATGGTGGGCAATTTTACAGTTCTTTCACGTGAAACCAAGTAAAATGAGTTCCTGTAGAGGTAAATATAAGGCTTGTACTCACTGAGCTCTCTGAGCCGACAGCAGCTCGTTTTTAGCGAACTCAAAGTCCTTCTGACCATCTCCACTGTTCCAACAGGACGCTCGCTTCCCGCTCTGAACCTCGGTGGGGTGGTTGAACCGAAAGTAGTGATCTCCTCCAAGAATCACACGGTCTCCCTGAAATAAAAAGTGAATAAACAAATAAACAGTTTCATGATTTATGTTGAGGTTCTCAGAACATTTCAGAAGTTTGGAATCAGAGCCGCGGCAGGAACTCACGTGGTGGAGAACGGTGCACTCAGACACAAGATGTCCATTCACGAAGGTCTTGGCGTTTGACATCGGTTTAATGCTGACGGTACCTTTCACACTGGAGATGACACTGAAAACGCAATGAAAAACAATAAGACTTATTGGAAAATGTATTCATCGATATTAGATTTTTAACTGTTTGTGCACAACATATACATTACTTTTGTCATCGTTAATATTTTAAGCACTAATGATTTACTGTAAAACACTGTAAAATGTCATCTTCAAAATCAGCAACTCTCAAAATGAATATCCATTTTTCATACTGTACATTATAATGTTGTAATGCCTAAATGAACTAGCATTAAAATTTTTAGTTTAAGTGTTTTATTCTGAATTTACTTACACAAAAGAAAAAAATAAATATGTGTGTGTGTGTATCTGCCATAACTTTAAAAGACATTTCCTATATGTCAGCAAATATGTAAGCATGTTTATTTTTATGGCAATTTTGTCATTTTTGAATCTTAAAAGACTCGGTTCTCATTCACTGTAACTGTATGGAAAAGAATGACCAGCACATTATTCAAAACATCTTCTTTTGTGTTCCTTGGAACAGCGGTATTTATAATATTTTTAGTATTTATTAATATTTTAAATGAGCTTTTATATTAATTTGCTTAATTATTAATTAATAATTTTTTAGATTTTGTGCTTTTTATATTTTAGTTTACGATTAAGTAATTTTGTTATGTGCTTTTGTCATATATATCTTCATTTAAGTTTAAGTAATTTTAGTAATTCAATTTAACAATTTCAGTTCTATGTCAGGTGCCAAGACAAAGCCTTACTTTAATTTTTTAAGCTTAGGTATTTTATCTAATATTAATATTTTATTTCAGTTCTATTTCAATTACTGAAAATGATTTTTATTGGTTTTAGTTGAAGGGATAATTCACCCAAAAATGCAGATTCTGTCATCATTTACTCACCCTCATGTCATTCCAAATCTGTATACATTTTTTTTCTTCTACTGAACACAAAAGAAGATATTTTGAAGAAGGTTGGCTACCAAACAGGTGACGGTAGCCATTGACTTCCATATCATGGGGAAAAAAATACTATGGAAGTCAATGGCTACCAGCAAATGTTTGGTTACCAACATTCTTCAAAATATCTTGTTTAGTGTTCAACAGAAGAAAGAAACTCATACAGATTTGGAACAACATGAGGGTGAGTATATAATGACAGAACTAGCATTTCTGGCTCAACTGTTTTTTTTAAATGTACAAATCCAATCATTTTTAAGATGATTTAAACAAATCAAAAATGATGGAGTGGTAGTAGACTGTGGACGTGACGTCTCACCAGTGCTCATTGGCGATGAGAGCTCCAGACAGCTGGATGTCGTGGGCCAACTCAGACTTGAGCTTGCCGACCTTGGTCTCGCCCTCTTTAATCATGTACAGCAGCATCTCTGACAGCTGCGGATCCTCATTCAGGTTCACAAGGTTAGGCAGCCGATTATCTACTTTAAAGGTGACGCCGGCGCGCTGAACGAAGTACAGCGAATAAACAGACGAAGAAAGTGAAGCAGAAAGAGAAAGAAAATGGCCATGACAGCCATTTGAAAAGCTCATCGATCCATCACACACTGAAGTCTGACTGTTATTTACAAGTGTGGGGCGAATCATTACCTGCAGCTCTTTGGTTTCCTCACGCTTCCTCCTCTCTGCCTCTTCCAGTCTTTCTTTCCAAGTTCTGCACATATTGAATGGCACAAAGATTGTAAAACCTTGATATGTACATAATTTAAAAACATCCGTCAAAGGACTATTCAGTCTTTTATGTGTAAAACGTTTTAACACACTAACTGCAAGTATGTGACAAAGTTTTATATTACAATAAAATATAATCGATTTAAAATGATTATATGGTTTGTATATAATCTAATTTTAAAATAAAACAGTTTTAAAACAATACAAGAGAATTCAACAACCTAACAAAATGAAATATCCCATGTATTCATCACAGAATATAAAACTAATCGGAATTATAATAAAATTACTTTTCCATCTGAAGAGCTTTCCACTGATGTCAGTATGATGTCATGGGCTGGGAGAACAGCCAAACATGTTTCAACCCTCTAACATCTCATTTACTGCGAGCTGCGACCACAGCAAACTACACAGTGATGGCCAGGAAATGCGTTTTCGGCTTTTTCTATTCCAAAACCACCTTCCCTAACCTCAAACTAAACCTGGCTACGGGCCGCGAATGTTTTCACTTTAAAGGAATGAGAAACATCGGAGAAGTTACAGTTTTGTTTGAGGCAGGTTACTCCTGAACTCTTCTATGATTTTAGTAAATATTTCTGTAAATATTGGCGTTTGTTGTTACAGTGGTTCATATAAAGGTAAAGGATTCAAATTCACAATATCTTGTGTTCACTTTAGGAATGTTCATTTCGGTTATTTCTCCTAACCGCCAACCGACGCTTGTTAACCGATTATTAACCGTTAACCGACAAGATTATTTTAAATTAGAATCGAATTAAATTAGAAAGGATAAGTGTCTGTGACCAGTTAAAAATACTAACATTTGTTTCCCGGGGATTAATTTTACATGTGAAAAAGCAGCAAACAACAGAACATGAGGATTCACATGGTCTTCATATCACAACACACACCTGCAGCGCTTCTGCGAGCGGAGAAAAACTTGATAAAGCAAGGCCATATATATAACAAATAAATAGGCCTATACGAGAAATATATTTTTCCTTAAATAATAAATTAAGAAAACGAAAAAAACTGTGCAACAAGTAGCCTAATATGCAGGGTTTCGGTTAATTTTTGTGCTGCGCAAAAGGAAACCAAGACGGCAGAAAGCGGCATCCTATTTTCCTTTAGGCCTATTTTACAAAAGTACAAAGATTTGTTTTTATTGTGAATGTGCCCAAATAAAAGCAAACCTTTTACAATTCCGATAATCTTTAGGACTAAAAGGAGTAGTTGCTTCCACTGTTAGAAGGAAAACAATCAAATGATTGTGCCGGCGCCGCATGCGCGCACACAGTTAAGCATTGCTACCTTAACAATGCAGCCTGTTCATTATCATAATAAAATACAGTCAGTCAAACATATGGAAAAACACACTGCTCAGTTTAAATATGTAGTAAACGCTGTGTCGTTAAGCGTTATCACCGTACCACCGTGATGTTATGCCAAACACATTTTGTTTTACGTGGATATTGGAACGCGAGTGAAGTAGGCTACATAATAAATAATATTTTGGCATTCAAATACATCGCGAATACGGAAACATTTGATTTTGTGTCGAATGAGAGACCCAACATTGGTTTCAGTT